CGCCAGCCTCACTCTTTTTCATGCTTCATCCAAACCTCAGCTTAAAGTTTCTTCCTTGGAGGAACCTTCTCTGATCCCCATCTCCATCCCAGACTAGATCAACTGTCTCTATTATCTGTTCTCATAGTTCTGAGTTTCTTTTCATAATACTTCTCACAGTAATAATTAGTACATAGCCCATACATATTCATAAACATGCACTAAAAGAATGAATGAATAACCATAGGATTCCAGAGAGGTGATGTGGCAGAGTGGTTAAGAAAATGGCTTTGGAATTGGAAAGGTCTGGGTTGGAGTCACAGCCTTACCATTCACTAGCTTCAGCAAGTCACTTAGCCTCTCTGAGCCTCATTTCCTTATTTGTAAAATAAAGATAATAGTACTTACCTCCTAGGGTTGTTGTAAGAACTCAGGGAAGTGATGCACATGAACAAAGTACATAAATCAGTGCCTGTCACAGAGAAAATGCTCAATAATTGGCAATTGCTATTGTTAATGCTATTGCTGTTATTCTGATATTGTTTATTTTCCCCAGGAGTCAAGAGAACATACCTGGGTGCTTTTTTTTGCATCCCGTTATCTATCATCATTGTCCTCCGGGAATCTTCCCGAACCATCTCCAGGAGTTTCTGCAGATCTGATGGAAACATGAGAGGTCATCCTTGACCAAAGGGTGCCCTTGAGACATGACTGCTCAGGGCAGGGCCCAGCCCCCAGGCTGGGATCACCCCTGCTTTTGAGTGATTTGACTGAGGTCCAGAGGAGGTGGCTCATCATGTTTGACAGGTTGTAAATCTGACCATGACACCCCCCTGCTTAAAACCCTTCTATGACTCTCCCTTTTTCTTTTGGCAGCATCTAAATTCCTCTGCATGGCCTAGGAGGCCTTTCAGGATCTGGATGCTCTTTTTCTCTCCTGTTTCATCTCCCTTCTCTTTCTCATCTTAAACTCTACTGCACTTAGAGAAAACTGTTTCCAATTCTGAGATGAGATCATCCTGTTCAGGAAGCCCTCTCTGATCCCCATAGGTCTGAATTCTAAAACTGGTGATCCACAAGTTGAATCCAGCTTGCAAATGTGTCTTATTTGATTCAATGTGGATGCCAAGCTTTTAAAACTGGAAGGCTTCACATACAAATCCAGGCCTCCAGCTTCCTAGAAAGAAGTCTGAGGTAGGGCTACATTGCTGTCATTTCTGCTGCAGGCCAACAGTGGCCCTTAGACAGGAGTGTGCTCTCTAGCTCCACGTGCCTCTCACCACTCCTCATTGCATTAGTTGACTTTTATTTTCATACTTAGTGTTGTTGATTTTTATATACTGTAGAAATATTTTTTCATACCTGACTGTTATGTGTTGAATTGTGTCACCCCAAAAGATATAAAGTCCTAATCTCTAGTACCTCAGAACCTCAGAATGTGACTTTATTTGGAAATAGGGCTGCTGTAAATGTAATTAGTTAAGTTAAAGTAAGTTCATATTGGAGTAGGGTGGGCCTTTAATACAATATGACTGGTGTCCTTGTAATAAGAGGAGAGAAAGACACACAAGGGGAAGATGGCCATGTGATGACAGAGGCAAAATCGGAGTGATGCATCTACAAGTCAAGGAATGCCAATGGCTGCCAGCAACCACCAGAAGCTAGAAAAGGCAAGGCATGATTCTTCCCTACAGAATTTGGAGGAATAATGGCCCTGAAGACACCCTGATTTGGGGTCTCTAGCATCCAGAACTGTGAGATGACAAATTTCCATTGTTTAAAGCCATCCAGTCTGTGGTAATTGTTACACAGCCCTAGGAAACTAATACACTGACACTCTCAAAGGTTGGAAAATGAAATATATGTGGATTATATTGGAAATATATGTGGAGTATATAGTTGGAAGTATACATGGAGTATATTGGAAATATACAAGGAATATATAATTGGAAAATGAAATATACACATTTCTTGAAGTCTGTGCTTCAAGAAAAGTGGGAGAGTGGAAATAGATGGTCCTGATTTATATATATACAGTTTTCAAATACCTGGCTCCCTCACCCATTTCCACTTTCTAGCGTGGAACTTGCTTAGTACAAAACCACAGGCTTTGGGAATTCCTTTTCCTCAAGTAGCTGTCCGCAGTGCTGAAATATCAGTGAGGTTTAACTTGGTGACTGTGACTCCTCCATAGTTTCTCCCCAGATTTATGAACAAGGAGAGAGAAAAGGAGGAAAATACAAAGTCAGACATTGGAGGGTCAGAGACATCCCAAGAAAAAAGGGGAGACTTTTGAGATGGTTTTTAGATAATTTCAGGAACTGTAGTGGATTGAATTATGTCCCCCCAAAACTCATTGACACTTGAATTTTGTCCCCCAAGTTTCATATATTAGAAGCTTAATCCCCACTGTAACTGTTGAGGGTGGAAAATCCTATTATGGTTACTGAAAGATAGGGCCTTGAAGAGGTGATTGGATTGTGGGACCATGCTGTGGTGAATGGGTTAAAGGTGATGGTCGGTGGCGTGATTCTGAGGGCTTTAAAAGAAGAGAGAGGGGAGTCTACTCTCTTGCTCTCTCTGCTTCCACTGTCTTGCAATGGGTCACTGGGTCTCACTGGGTCTCACTGGGTCACTGGGTCACTGTCACCACCACCAGATAGACTTTGACTTTGATCTTGCAATGTGAGAGCCCTGGGTCACTGTCACCACCACCAGAAAGTCTTTGAACTTCCCAGCTTCAGAAACTGTAAGCAATAAATTTCATTTTTCAAATTACCTAGTTCCAGGTATTTTGTTATAAGCAAAATAATACAGGACTAATACAGGAACCAAAAAAGAAACTACAATCGGCAATTACTGGAACATGAGCAACTGAAGGGAAAGTCTTAAACATGTATTCTTAGCAGTGAAACCTGTTTGCATCCAAAATAAACAAACATGCTACTTGGATGGCTCCACTGATGGTAAATAATTTTTGGTTTTTATCTATCTCAATGAAAAATATTGGTGGTATTTGCACTGTCTCAGAACAGACAGTAGAGTGGCTGATACTGGTTTCATGTGTTTTTGAAAAATCTATCACGTTTTACTTCCTCCTCTGGGATTCTTTTTTTTTTTTTATTTCTTTTTAAATTCATGGCCGCAAAACATTTAAAAAGACTAAGATCATAGAAAATATGCTCTCTCACCACAATAACAGAAGGAAATTTAGAAAATTCACAAATGTCTGGAAATTAAACAACACTCTCCTAAATAAACAATGGGTAAAAAGGAAAACCACAGGGAAATTAGAGAGTGCTTTGAGATAAAAATCAAAGCACCACATATCAAATTTATAGGATGCAGGGCTCATGCAGTGCTTAGAAGAAAATTTATACTTGTAAACACCTATATTAAAAATCAGAAAAATCTCCAATCAGTAATGTAAACTTCTACCTTAAGAAAATAGAAAAAGAAGAGCAAACTAAACCAAAAGCAAATGTAAGTAGGAAATAACAAAGATTTTAACAGAAATATATGAAATGGGGAATTAAAAATAATAGAGAAAATTAACAAAACCAAAAGTTGATTCTTTAAAAAGATCAACAAAATTTGCAAACCTTTAGATTGACCAAGAAAAAAACAGAGAAGAATGAAATTAGTAAAATCAAAAATAAAACAGGGGTATTATCACATTGTCATTATGTTTTTTTTGCAGCAGTTAAGATTTAGTTTCTTTCTCTTTCTCATTTGTATTTTTGTTCTACCAGTGGGTTTTATTCTTTCTTGTGAATTCCTGGTAGTGATTACCTTTTGTAGGATTCCAGATGCAGGACTTCCTTGAGGATTTCTTGTAGAGCTGGTCATGAAATAGTGAACTCCTGCAGTTTTTGTCTGTGTGAAAAATACACTATTTTCCCCTTGTTTCTAAAGGATAGCCTTGCTGGGTATAGTATTCCTGGCTGGCAGGTTTTTTCTTTTAGTCTTTTGAATATATCATCCCATTTTCTTCTGGCCTGTAGAGTTTCTGTTGAGAAGTCTCTGTTAGTCTTATAGGGGCTCCCTTATAAGCAACTTGACACTTCTCTTGTTTCTTTAATGATTCTCTCTTTGTCTTTGAGTTTTGTCAGTTTGACTATAATGTGTCTTGGGGAGGATCTTTTTGGGTTGAATCTGTCTGGGAATATTTGAGCCTCCAGAATCTGAAGGCCCATGTCTCTCCCTATACCTGGGAAGTTTTCTGTTATTATTTAATTTAATAGGTTTTCCATACCTTTTCCTTTCTCCTTCCCTTCTGTAACACCCATAATTTGAATGTTTGCACATGCAAGGTTATCTGGTAGGTCTCTTAGAATTTCTTCATTTTTTAAAATTCTTTTTTCCTTTTTTTTGTCTGTCTGGGTTATTTCAAAAAGACTGTTTTCAAGATCAGAAATTCTTTTGTCTGCTTAAGCTATCAGTTGTGATTTTTATTTCATTGAGTAACTCTTTCAGTTCCATGAGTTCTGCTACATTCTTTTTAAAGGTATTAATGTCTTTGTAAATTTCCTCCTTCAAATCCTGGATTTTTTTTCCTTGATTCATTATGTTGTTTAACTGAGTCTTCTTGTATCTCAGTGAGTTTTCTTAAGATTATTGCTTGGAATTCCTTTTCAATCATTTCAAGTGTTTCCTTTTCTACAGGGCCTGGTATTTGAGAATTACTGTATTTTTTTTGTGGTGTCATATTTTCTTGGGTTTTCATATTTCTAGTATCTCTACATTGATGTCTGGTCATCTGGTAGAGCAGTTGCTTCTTCTATTACTCTGGAGTGGTCTTTGAGGAGAGACACATCCTCTTCTTTTTCCCGTCTCTGCTGGTGACTCTCCTTGTGTCAATGCAGTCGAGTGTCTGGCAAGGCACCTACATGGTGGCTGTGGCTACTGCTGTGGCATTGAGCTGCTTTTGTAGCAGCTGTAGCTGTTGCAGTGGCTGTGGTGGGCCACCTGCAAGGTAATGGTGTTTTTGGCATGCTCTCTTGCCTGCTTCTGGGCAGAGGGATCTGCCCTCAGCTCCTGCCTTGGACCCAGGCATGCTCTCTTGCTTGCTCCTGAGTGGAGGAGGCTACCCTTAGCTCTTGATCCTCTGGAATTCTGGAAGAATATTCTCTTCCCTCATCCAACAACCACACCTGGTAAGGTGTGAACTTACACAGCACACTATTCCCTTGACCTCTACCATCACACTGACTTCATGGGATGGAGATTACCTGTTCACTTGTGGGTCTTCCCCTCTAGGCTGTGAGTTCCTTGAGGTCAGGGGCCACATTGTATTTGTCTTTCTATAGATAGCACCTGGCACTGTGCTTGGCACATGGGATCTTAGCCAATAGCTGCTGAAAGAATAAGTGAACAACTAAGGAGAAAAAAGAGGGAAGGATGTTTGAGACCATGAGCTAGACTTGGGTATCAGTGAAGGATGACAATGCCAGTGCAGACACTTTTCATCTTGTTGTGGGTGCCTGTAGTCAGCTCAAGCTCAGGTCTCAAAAGCCATACCAGGAAGGGAGGCCTGATGCCCAGGGCTTCCCAAGACCATTTCTATCCATCCTTGTTTATGAATGCAATCATTGGGTGCTAGGGAAAGAGCACCTTTCCTTAGTGACTTTGGAGCCATGTAGGCTGTGATAAATGTCA